TCAGCACAAAGTAAGCATGTGAAATAAGTGTGCTGACCTTATGAATTTTCTTGGAATCCAATCCTAGGAGTAAAATTTGCTTTCAAGTTTTTTTGTTTTGTTTTTGATTTTAAAGTATTGTGAATTGAGTGAAGGTTTACAAAGAAGATCATCAGTTTTACTTTCAAGGAATCCTATACTCTGCTGCTTTACAATGATTACAATCCCCTCCATGAACCAATAGTTCACAGTACTTAATCTCTGTTCACTTTAAGTCTTGCATTCCTCCCGTGTCTACTGTTATCTTCATCTTTCCTATGCCAACCTCCCTCTGGTTGTATACTGTTGGTTCCATCACTCATGTTAACATGTGTCTACCCTCTAGCCTGTGAATAATCTTGTCTCTACCTCCAATAACCATCACTGAATGTTTCTTTTATCAAGAAAACCTCTTCTTAACATTTTTTGTGTTTTTCTTCATTTAAAAATAGCAGTTTGTTTTCTGCACATTAAAAATATATTTTATACACATTCAGAAAGTCACAGCTACAAGATCAGAAAAGCTTATTATATCTTATAATTATTCTAACGTCTTTAAGATATGATCTTTCTCTTTAATTTCTTCCTACTTCAGTAATTTCTTGTTTTTTTTCTAAAAGCTTTTATTGTGAATTGAGTGATAGTTTACATGGGAGAGCATCGGTTTTGCACTCAACCTATCGTATTTTATTTCATTGCAATGATTACAATCTCCTTCATAATCTGTTTTTAAAGGACAGGTAGAAACTAGCCAAAGAGACTGGGGCAAGGAAGCTACAGACAGAGAGTAATGTTGAGGACAGGAAACATTTTTCTAAGAGTGAAAGCACAGTAGACTCACACTGAATCAGTCAAAAACTACAATACAGAATTTATATTAATTCTGACTCTCTCTTCTCAGTGCCCTCTTTGGAAGTATGCTCTTCTGGGCATGCGGCATAAGAAAGCAGATCAGGGTAATGCCGACGGTTTAAACTTGGTAATTGGAAGAATTCAGAGCCCTTTAACTAGATAAGGAAGACAGGGAGGGAAGTTTTGTCTTGGTTTGACAAGTTCATCTTCAATATTTAGAGATGTCTAGCAGTTGTCCCTGAGTTGTGCAAACAGTTGATGTTCTCAGCTGCTGGCTGAGAAGTTGGTCGTTCGAGTCCCTCAAGAGGTGCCTCAATAAAATGGCCTGCCTATCTACTTTTGAAAAACCAACCACTGAAAATGCTATGGCTACTCTGACACACATGGGGTCACCATGAGTTGGCACTGACTTGATAGTAAATGGTAGAAGGCTCCAGAAAAAGTATCAAGACTCAAAATGTCCATTAGAATCAACAATGTGCAGAATATTTGGCACTTTGGTTGTGGAGTCACTGCCTCAGTGAGAGCTGTCTCTTGTTTCCTTCCTGGCAGGAGATGTCAGAGCCCCATTGTTCTTTCAATAGAAACTGCTGATTGGTATCTCATTTATTCCGTAAGTTTTAATTTTCAGTAAGCAATAATGCTAAACTTATGCACAGAGTCATAGCTGAGTCACATAATGTTAAGACCAGGTTTATTTAGTGCTGTCTGACAAGTTCAGAAATGAAAAAGAATACTTTACAAAATGTACAATTTAATTTACATAAATACTTTCAGAATGACATGAGAAAAATGTACAGATGTGATTTGTAGTCGGTCTTATATCCTGACAAGTTAGATACATGTTTCTATACACACATATATCTTGTTTGTGGGTTTTTGTGATTAAGGCCCAAGGTAAAGTTTTGGGCATGTCCATGAGGATTCTGAACTCATAAAATTTGGGGTAGCTGCACCCTGAATAGTTGATTTTGTTCTGATACAAAATTTCACGAAAAGCACATTTGAAAGTCTTCCGAGGCTAAGAATTTGATTCATTTACATGCTTTGGGCATCAGTTTGCTCATCAGTAAGATGACAGCATTCCTGATGATGTACTGTGCTTCTTCAGCATTAATAAACAAGTGAGCCTCAGCAGCCTCTGGACCAAGGAGAGTTCTCTGATTTCTATTTTTCTATGCTATCTCTACTGGAAAGGAGTTAATTTGCAGTTTACCAGCCCACTTAGTTTACCAACAGTTTAGTACTGGAACTACAATATGATTCCTAGTGTACAACAAAACACACACAGCCTCCGGAGTCCAGGTCGAAGAGCTCTAACATGACTCCAATTGTGAACTTGAGAGTTCGGAGTTGTGGTACCCATAACGGGATCTTAACCGAGAACCATCATATCAAAAATGTCATATTATTGTCAAGTGCAGTTGAATCAGTTCTGATGATACAGGAAACCCTGTCTAGGGTTTCCAAGGAGCGGCTGGTGGGTTTGAACCACCAACCGTGCAATGAGCAATCCAGTGCTTATCTTACAGTGCCATACCAGAACTCCGAAACTTAACATCTAAATGGTAAAATATTTGCATGAAGACATAGTCAGTATGATCTTGAACTCCACGGTGCCATTGACTACAGTGATTATTTTCTTGGGATTGCACTGGTCTATACAATGTAAAATGAATGTAATGTGATATATTCTATAAAGTAAAACAGCGGATTTCTTTAAGTTCATAGACATTTGCATTTATAAAAAACCGCCAAAAGGGAAGTCACCCCTAAGTCTTATCCAGAACTTACTTTTTCAGTTTACAGTTAATCATATCTTTGATTTTTTTTTGAGAAAAAAAAAAAAAAAAAAAAAAAAAAAAAAAGATAAACTGACCTCACATGTTGACAG